AGATGTAAAACAATTATTTTGGTTTAATGTTGTACTATAACTCCATAAAAACAAACATTCTACCATATATAAAAATTATGAATATGATACTAGAAATAAAAATAAAGAAATAATTATTGCAACACCAAAAGAAGAAATAATGTTGAAATCTTCTGCATACCTAGGTCCAAAATTATATCATAACTTGACAAAATATATTAGAAAAAACCAAATATCCTTATTAAAAATAGATTTATACGAGTGGCTTTTGAAAGCTGATATAAACATGATGTAATTTATAAGAAACTAACATGTATCTTTTCTTCATTGCTATGATCCAAAATTGATGTATCTACATATTACATTTATATTACATAGATTTTATCTTAAGTTTATGTTATCATTCGTTGAATTTGAATTACATACTAAAATTAGTCGAGTACCAAAGCATCAACATTGTAAGTTGCAGGACATTCTCTGACTAATTTTTCCATTTTTTAACCAGTACTTTTCTTATATTCTATTTATTGTAGATTCATTTACCCTTGGCTGTCTGTGCTACGGTCGAAAAAATAGTTATATTCTCTAGGCGCTGAAGAAAGAAACTAAACCCAAACAAATACACGCATATTGCTCGTGAGTGAGTGTTTAGGCGCAGGAGACATTACAGGACCGCATCAAGATATTATGGGTAGTCATCAAAAATTTCATACAAGATAATTATTATCTTTTACAGTAAATTTCAGTTAGAGATTCACAAATGAGTTAACAACACTTTTTAGTTATTAGTAAGTAAGCTGCGCGCACTCATTCAGAAGAGGAACTTGAATCTTCTGAATCGTTTAAATGAATTATTAGAGGTTCAATTTGGGTATCGATGACATTGTCCAAATCCCACATTTTGACCTCAACCTTCTCCCGAACGTGGCGGATACAGTTTTTCCATTCCTCTGCCGTAACTCTATTGACTGCGATGTGAAAGAGATTTTTAACATCAGAAAATTTATAAGTATTATTATTCAACGCCACGTATTGCTTTATGTTGGCCCAAATCAGCTCAATAGGGTTCAGCTCACAATGGTAGGGTGGCAGTCTCAAGACAGTTTTATTTTGTTTTTTGGCCATTTCGTCGATCATTTTAAAATCGTATTTGTATTTATGTCTATTGACTATACTTATCAATTCACCCTTGACCATTGTTTCATCAAAATCGATCTGTTTTGAGGCCAGCCATTGTTGTATGTTTGCTTTTTTAGTTGCCATTGTGGGAATTTTTTCTATTTTTCTAGAATGGTACGGGGCATTATCCAGTACAATAACAGCGTTATTCTCCAGCTTTAGTAACATTTTGGAGAACCAATTTTCAAAGGAATTGCCGTCCATCTCCTCATGATAGTCCCCTGACTTTTTTGATTCAAAGGCCCACAGTGCTTCGGGAACAAAGCCGTCTTCACTACCTACGTGACAAATGATCAGCCGTTTGCCTTTTCCTGGAAATAAATTATTCCTTACACTATGAATTGATTAAATTTGAAGGAATGAGGCAATTGAGTTCATTTAGCTGAATTTAAGTCACGGAATGCTGATCAAAAACTGAAAAACGTAGAAAATTGAAGTTTGCAACTTCTCAAAACCCATTCAAAGCAAATTGACTGCACCCAAAAATGATGATAAATTTCAAAATAACGCTTAAAAGAGGGTCGAAGTTTTTTTCCTAATGACTACACTGCGAATGCACCATTTTTGGAGAATATCACACATTATCTGCTATCACAGCATATTATTTGCCCGAATTTATCAAAATTAAATTGCCGGATAGATGAAGGAGCTTACCTGCACGATTTTTCAATCCAGCCGAAAGACCGTCTAGAAAAGCCTTGATGATGTTACTGATTTGTCGACCCAAACTTTCGCTTGAGTATGTCCAGCATTCACCCACGTTTCGTCCAAATAGTAAATTTTTCTTTTTTCATCGCGAAACTTCCGAATCTTCCTAAGGTATTCCCTTCTCCACACAACAATTTCTTCTTTCTCTATTAACATACTGTTTCTTCCCCGTTTCAAGAATCGAAAATTAAGTTCCTTCAAAAGTTTTCGGAATGTGGTTCTTTTAAATGATGGAAGATCCTCATCAGCATTAACTAATCTTAATATCTTATCTACTGTAGGTATCTCATTTCGGAAGAAAAAATTATGCACTTTCCTCCTGATGGCAGTTCTGTCAAAGTCATCTACTCCGTCCGTTATCCTTTTTCTTGCAGGATACGGTTTTGGCTCAGAAAGTGAGTGAGTGCTCCTATATTCCTTAATGATCCTATAAACACTGGACCGACATACTCCAGAAATATGTGCTACCTTACATATAACTTCGTCCACGACCAAATCGGGTTTTTCTTGAATTTGGTTTTTGTATATATTTAATATTATTTGTTTTTCATTTGCACTTAAATGTAGCTTCTTAGCCCTTTTTTTGGGTGGGGTTGCGCTGATGTCAACCACTTCGTCGGCTGTATCTGTGTCAGACATCGTATCTTAGGCAATATACAGGGTGTTCCATAATTATTGCGACAAAATGATAGGGGTTGTAGAGGGCATCAAAATGAACAATTTTTCCTTATAAACCCCTGTTCGGAAACATGCCGTTTGGGCTGCAGCAAGAAAAAAAGATCAGTTTCTTGAAACAGCTTACCTACAGTAATTGCTCAAAGTGTCCTCCACCTTGCTCAATACACACCTGTGCACGATTGTTCAATGATCGGCGAACTCTGTGGCATACCCCCGGTATGTCCTGAACATGTGCGGACGCGGCCATCACTCTTCCCAGTAGCTCTTGTTGGTTGGGAACAGGAGTTTCGTACACTAAAGCTTTCAGATAGCTCCAGATAAAATAATCCAGTGGAGTCAGGTCAAGTGACCGCGCAGGCCAAGGCACAGGGCCACCTCGGCCTATCCACCTATTTGGAAATTTGTCGTCCAAATACTGCCGCACTTGTAAAGAAAAGTGGGCTGGACCGCCATGGTGTTGAAACCACATGTTGGCTCTTATATTCAGTGGCACATTTTCTAATAGTTCCGGTAGCACATGCTGTAAGGATCGACCATAAGCATGCCCATCCAAACGTGGTGGAAGCAGATATGGCCCGATGATATGCTCGTCCACAATGCCGCACCAGATGTTAATTGAAAACTGATGTTGGTCTCTATGGATGGCTATGGCATGAGGGTTTTCTTCATCCCAAATGTGACTGTTACGGCTATTAAAATAACCGTCCTTTGTAAAACAGGACTCGTCAGTGAACAAAACGTAGCGACCAAAGTTTGGTTGCCTCAACTCCTGCTCCAGCCACCAACGACAAAAACGTCGACGCGGCAGATAGTCTGCTGGACCCATGGCTTGGACTTTTAAAAGGTGGTACGGGTGTACGATAACAAAAATGTAAACACAGCAGGCTTTTTCTACAAACCGGCGAGACCATGAAATGTGCTAGACAAACATTTTGCAGCTGGTGAATTTTTTGTTTCTCCTATGAGCTCTTAAGGTAAAATTTAACTGTAGTGTTCAAACGGCATATTTACGAACAGGGGTTTATAAGGCAAAATTGCATATTTTTATGCCCTCTACAACCCCTATCATTTTGTCGCAATAATTATGGAACACCCTGTATAAACAAAACGTTCCACTCGCGAAAAACGAGTATACGCTACTGAATGCGTAATGCGTATGCAATGCAATTCTGTGCGTGAATTAACTGTTAGATGCCTGTCGTGTCATCTACAATCACGTTTACAAGTCCAAACCTGTGCAGATTCGTAGAGCGCCGACGACTGCTAGTGACCTTGAATTTGTCTGTAGATCGATGTTACTCCAGTCAATTTAGGTTCAAAGTGGATGTTTTCTAAACCAATTTGTTGTTCCTACATCAAAAATATATCGATGATGTTTTGTACTGGGAGCTCATGAAAGATCAAGGTAACTTATTTTAACAGTCATCCTTTTTCTAGTCTCAAGATGACACGAAAAAGGGTCTGTGGATTCACTAGAAATACACTGCCGAGGATGTTTAGACCTAAAGTGACTGGAGTATATCCGTGGATGCTTTCGAGGGATCTGTTCACGTGCTGATCAGTGTTTACGTTTAATGTCTTTCTTCAGCGCCCAGAGTATAGTTAAGTCATTAAACCTTAGCGACCCATTAAAATTTATCTGTAGTGTTGTATTTTAAAATCCTTAAGTTTTGGTCCAGTTGGATGTAATGACCACGCACAGGTTATCCTTTAGTACTTCCTCTGACATACCATATTCTATTAGGATAATCTATAATTCACTCACATATATGGAAATTTAGCTCAAATTCATATAAATCACCTGTATGTTAATAAGAATAAAGAAAACTTACTGTGTTACGTCACCGTTAGTATATAGTATTTTCAGTTTTCTTTTGCGCCAGCACAAGGCCACCCTTCTGCGGGCTCTTTATTTATTCGTCCGCTATAAAATTCTATGTGTAATGGTTGTGTATTTTGGAGACAATAAATATTGCTATTACTATTACTACTACTACTACTATCAGTACCTTTAAAATATCTGTTGATCTCTATATGCGCTGTTAGTTACTATAATCTGACCCTCTTTGTGCCCAGAAGCCTGTCCTAATCTTATCTACCAAACTAGAAGCACTTGTAGCAGATGTATTTAATATAACAAGAAAAATACTATCACTTGTACTTTAAAGGAAAATCCGTCTTGCGATATGGTCTTTTAAAATATTGAGTAGTACTAGTATATCGTGTTTGAAAGTCACACAGAACACAATATCTCGTATTAGTACGAGTTACAGTTAAATTCACATGTGATTACTTCACCATACTTTTTTATGAAATGGAGCCGCGATAGGTGTAACGTGTACACATGTTCGTGCATTCACCTGTCAGGTAATAGTCACCAGTAATGGACTTAGGCCTCATTAAGCATGTTGACCGTCTTTAGTTCGTTTAACGGCAACAATTAATGTTTATTCAATATTACTCACTCTGATTCATTATTCTCGAACACCAGCTCTCCTTCAGCCCGGTCGTACTCCTTACCCTGCTTGGCCGTACCATCCTCCGTCCAATAAGGAATCACCACGCGCCCCCTAGCGCCTGATTTACGCATCACTCGCAACTCGTACGTGCCCACACTTTCGACCAGCTCGTGGTCCTGAGCCTCGAATTGGAACAACCCCCCGTGGTCATCGTCCAAAATGACCACGGTAGCCAAAGAGGGTGTGCCGAGGCTCCCTGGGGGTCGTTCGTTCATCAGGCGGACGTAAAAGTGTTCGTCAGGCTCGAATACGTCGTCGTCTATCACTTCTAGGGTAATCCTGGAAGAAAAACAGGTATAAATGAAAAAGGACGTCAAACAGATTGATATCGTACTTTTCACGCTATTCCGTCATCAATGATGATAACTGTATCATAATACATCAACCATTCACAAATATTGCTATGACGCTGGAGGCTCCAATTATTTGAAAAGTATTTCGATAGGAATCTTTGACTTTCCTTCCCTTCCTTTACTCCCCACGCCACTGGCGCAGGAAATATTGTAATAGTGAAAAATTACAATCATAATAATCAGTATTTTGGGTGTTATACATCCACATCACGAAAAATCATTACACTTATTTCCATCTGTCCGCTAATCCTTGGAAAGCCTATAATTTGAAAAGTCGGATAGGAATGAAATTATCACAATTATCGTTACTATACGTCATAAGTCAGTCCAGTAGCGGCGGAACTAGAGGTGAAAACAGAAAAATAAAAATCGTTCAATCTTTGTTTTCCTTCATGTTTATAGAGGCTCCTGATCATTATAGTAATAAAGTTTGTAGGGGATAAAAATTGAACATTAGGGGATGTAAGGAGTGAGAGAGGGTATGTCAAAATTTGTTAATGTTAGCATATTTATACACTCCCAACCAGGGTAATTATTTTCACCTAGACTGCACAGCATTGGCATCTACTCCAATATACTATAATAACTCAGAAATTTCTCCATTTTTTTTGAGAAGAATGTAAATATGGTTGCTTGTGTAGTGGAACTCCCTGGATATTTCATGATCTCATTGACTGGAGTTTCTTTTTAGACTCTTCCAAGGTTAGTCTTACCACCCAACGCCAACCTTTTGCCTTCCATTACCATCAGATAAGCCGGGAATATGATACTGCTTTTAGAGTCGATTGAATACGAGTACTACAAATGGCAAATCTGTGGTGACTTGAAAGTTGTTGCTCAAGTCCTGGGAATGGATTTGTGTTATACTAGGTACTGCTGTTTCCTGTGCTTCTAGGATAGTCAAGATAGCACATCTCGATACATAAGATACTTCAAGAAGTCTGAATCTCGGAGAAATTTTTTTCCCGGAATGGGCCTCTGGTAAATTCAAGTAATATTCTACTTCCTCCCTTGCATATTGGGCTGGAATTAATGGAGAACTTCGTGAAAGCTATCAACCAGAACGGAGAGGCTTTCAAATATCTTAGAGCGAAATTCCCACGATTTACTGAAGCAAAGGCTGAGGAGGGAATCTGTGAGGCCTCAAATACGCAAAATACTGAATGATTCTGCCTTTGATGAAATGTTAGTGCGGAAATGAAAAACACTTTTAAAGGTTTGGTACGAGAATTTCTAGATAACCTAGAAGATAACAACTACCAACAGTGCTGTATGATACTATTACTTTATTTAACACTATGTTTTCCTTTGGATTACCTTTTAATTTTGTTTCATTACAAATTACTCAGGCATTTTTTCCATCAAAAATAATTATTTCAAAGATGAGTTCACTAGGTTAGGATCAAATTACAGATCAATATGGCATATAAGGATTATCTTCAATCACCACAGTACTTGACGAAAGTCGATCCTTTTTTTATACTTTAACCAACACAAAGGCCTAAGGCCTAAAGACCCATGGGGTACCGTGGGGCTATAGGGGGATACAGGTGAAAGAGGGAACGCCACACGGACTCTGGCGAGGGAACACGTGTGCATGCAACATGCACACATTCTGGCCCCGCCTACGAGATCCGCCGGGTGGTACCTCCGCGTTCGACATTCAGAGACCGTCTACCACCTACGGACAAGCACAACATCCATAGCGAAGAGAAAAATTTCTCCTGGGACGGGATCCGAACCCGCACAGCGCATGGCGACTGATCAGGAGACCGAAGAGTCTACTACTGCGGCCACCGCTGCTGCCTCTTTTTGGTTATATAATAAAGAAGGAATAAAACGTCGCACATCCCAAACAACATAACGTATTTGGATAATATGATTTGGTGCGTGATCTTCAATCGATTGTCAATTCTTCTGCCATTTTTTCCAAAAAAAAAAAATCTCACAACCTGGCACCTACAAACATTATAGTCTTCCTTCCAATATCAGTACAGATATTATTGATATAACTCTAAGAAATTAATGATTCAACTAAAAAGCTGAAACCAAAGATGACATCAAGGCGAGATAAGATTCCTTCTTTTTTTAGTCAAAAATATTGTTCCTGGTATAATGACTACTGTGATCGTTTTATTCAACATCATGTTAGCTACATTAAGTATTCAAGATAAATGTAAAGAAAGCAGAGTGTGTCCCATCTACAAACTGGGTGACAGAGGTTCAATTATAAATGGTTTTATGAATGGTAGATCAACTGTCACCAACTTCGCGATTTTCACTCAGTATTTTGGATCGTCAGGGCCAGTTGGTGCAATGTATATGGATTTTTCAAAGGCATTTGATAAAGTTGATCGTAGGATATTTCTTGCCAAATTGAATTTGTTGCACTGACAACTCGATATCTTTATTAAAGTCCTATTTACATATTCGTCACATCATACAATGACTTTAAATCTTTTAGTATACAGCATCTTCAGGGGTACCAGAGGGTTCCAATTTGGGACCATTGCTTTTTTTGCTCTTTCTTAAAGAGATAAGTAGCAATATTCATTGTGAAACATTACTATTTACCGATGACTTAAAATTGTGCTTTGAAATCAACAGCTTAACTGATTGTGAGTACTTACAGTGTCAACTTTCCAAGTTGAAAAATTGGTGTCGATTGAATAAATTGCATCTAAATATCGCTAAATACAAAGTTCTTATATTTTGTCAACAACAACACAACAAATAGTAATTTACCCTTATAATACCGGTGGAAATGTAATCATTCGGCACGAACAGGTTTCTGATTTAAGCATGACATTTGATGGTAGGATATATTTTGACGATCACATTACTCAAATTGTAAATAGAGCTAATAGAAACATTATACTTTGCATATGTATGATCCAAATTGGAATATGCTTCGTTGGTTTGGAGTCCTTATTATAACTGTTATATAAATAAAATTGATCATGATCAAAAGTATCTGGTTGCGTATCGTTAGAAAGGTCCCAAGTTGCCTCCTTGAGTGAGAGAAGAAAACAACTCCCTGGTCTTCTTATATAAACTTTTGCATAGTATTGTTGATTCTTCAGAACTATTATTCCAGCTCCAATTTTTAAGTCCAAGGAACAATACTTTCTTTTATTTGCACCCGTGCAAATACCAAGTTGGATTTAAAATCATTTGTAACAGTCATTTGCATGAACTTCAGCAGAATATGCAGTATTTGAGATAATTGTATGGCAGCACCTTCAATAGCGTTATACATGTTATATTAAAGTTTCTTCATTCTCTTAAATTTAAACAAATTAGTTTTTGTATTGTTATGCCAGATTTTAATTATTTGTCCTGTAAATAGATTATAATAATTCTGTTTGGCAATAAATACTATTACTATTAAAAGCTATTTAAAAAAATGCAAACGAATAACGTTTTTCTCAACCTAAAATTAGTGAGATTTGACTGCTTAGAAACAGGAAACACATGGAAGAATTTTTTGTGGGCCGTTTCAAATAACGATGTTGCGGCGATTTTTTACACTTAGCCACATGTCAAACGTATCCTATTTTTTGTTCGGATCATTAAATTAACTACTCCTAAAGATGAAATATTGCTAAATCTGTGGCGTGGACGTAGCCAGTACCATCGCACTGGTCAACAATGACTACTATTCTAGGACAAACTTGGCATTGAGAAACGCGTTTTGAGAGTTAGCTTCAGCAGAGTCAAAGTCATTGAATGGACAAATTCAAACGACAAACAAAACAATTATTATTTGATAATATTAACAGTTGATAGATTGATGCACCGCTGAAGGTTTTAGTACTTTTAATCAAGAAAATGTATAAATTACGGGTATAATAGCTTAGAGTTTACAACAATTCCATCTGGGGGTGGAAACTACCCCTTCTATCCCCTCTTGTCGACGCGGATAATTTGTGGAAGTCAGAAGTACTTTTGTCATGATATCTATAACCACCTCTACCACAGATATTTCTCCAACACCTCAGTGCCATCGATACCAAGAGATCCAAACACATATTTTATTATACAATTATTTATTCATTACATATTAAACAACGCTACTGGAAATAACAATCGTTGGTGCGGATAATCCAAATACAATTTTCGATTAAATAACACTGTACCGTCGTTTAATATCTTTCCAGGTTTTGAAGGCCCTTGAATCAGTCTTCCATTCCCTTCCTACAGTCCGATGAATTATATGATTAGCTTCCCGGTTTCGTCACCCCCAACTAATACTTTACCCTTCGAAACTTCGAGACTTTAATTAGAAACAAAAACGATAAATCCGACAAGGTTTAATATCCCAACGAATAACCCCTCAGGTTTCAGTCAATCATCCAAAGGAGATGATGAGTTTTTAATAAGATCAATAAAAATTCAGCACCAATAACTTTCAAGTACACCGGGCGCCCCAGAAGAGAGTTGATATTTAGTATCATAATATAAATCAAAGGAAAATGTTTTTGAAGCAATATTTAAGATGGGTTTTAGATTTTACTAAGCCTGCGCCAAAAAGCGCGGGGGTCGTAAATTCAACGAATGAGAAGGCATCTTTGAAGTAAGCGATCTTGTAAAATGTCTCTCAAACTAGAGAATAATTATACGGTTTGTGTAAGATGAGCCTTTAATTCCCATACTGAATCAAGAAATATGCCATAAATCCCTACAAAAACTAATTTTTTGATCATATAATGCACCAATGGAAAATAAGCATTTCCGGCATACTCCAAGCATGGACACAACTCTGATTCAATATCCAGATTGAACATAACAGTGTTTCACTACATGATAAATTTTGAGAATGCTTAACAAACATCGAGTTAATAATAAAAAAAGGATGAAACGATAGTCATGAAGCCGACGTTTTAGACAATCCGCTAGGACGCACTTACTTTTGTGATAGATTGA